TGGAGACCTGTCCATGGTGTCCCTGTGATGGACTGGAGACCTGTCCAGGTGTCCCTGTGATGGACTGGAGACCTGTCCATGGTGTCCCTGTGATGGACTGGAGACCTGGCCAGGTGTCCCTGTGATGGACTGGAGGCCTGTCCAGGTGTCCCTCACCTCTCACACAGTGACTGCCGGACGTGGGCACCAGTGGCACCAGTGACCCCCGCAACCCGAAAAGGAAGCAGCAGATAAAAGATGATGGATGAACTTTTGTCCCTCCATCAGACCTGTAAATAATCACAAATGTGCCACCCCAGGATTTCCAGTGGCCCCCCCACATGGCCCCCCCACACGGCTGTAGGTGGTGCTGCCTTCAGGTGACCATCGTCACAACCGTGGATCAGAACCGGACAGAACGACGATCGTCACGTCGCGTCTTCGTGTTCAGCGTTAGAAAAATCAACAGAAGTGGTTTTAAAAAAATCAAAACAGTGAATTTAGAAACAAAGTTTGAAATCTGACACCAGAGGACTGTGCAAAAGTCTTAATCCATCCCTATTTATTGACTGCCACCATGAGAGGTGGGCCGTCACTGTTTGTTTTATAAAATATTTCAACCGTTGACAGATTTTAATGAAACCCTCAGAAAGTCTCCCTGATTTCAGACGCGTGGACCTCAGACAACACAAAGGCTAGAACGGTACTAAGCTTTGGTGGAGTGGTAGCTGAGAGTCATCCTCAACACACACGCCGAGCACCAGCGTGTCGAGCGACACCTTTGTTTCAAACTTTGGATTAACAGGAAGCGGGCGAGCTGCTGCCTTCCACGAAACTGACAACTTTAAAGATTACAAGAATCCAACGTCTGCTGGAAGGAGCAGAAAGAAACGAGGTGTGAACCCAGGACTCGTGCACAGACTTGAAGACCAGAGGTGCACGTTTCCTGAGGAGCAGCTTCTCAACGCGTCTCTGGTCTAGTGTGAAACTGTTTACCGGTCCGGTGGACGGAGAGCGGCGAGGCGTCCACGCTGACGGTCATCGCTCGCTCCTTCTGCTTGAAGAACTCTCGAGGGTTTTCCGAGCGCTGGGCGATGATGGCCTTCGCTTCCTGGACACAAGCACATCACAAACACCTGAAGGTCCCGTCGGACGCCGACGCATCAAAGAGTCTCGTTAACTCAAACACATCTTTAAAAACTTTGTGTCAAGACAGGATAGAACTTAAAACAACTTAACTAAAAAATCTACCATAAGTTTTGTACTTTCTGTTTTTTGTTGTCAATAAACAAAAAACTTTTCTGACAAATTGTAAAAATCCTTCGATTGTTTTTAACTCGACTTCACGGTAACGTTGCTGCCTCCTGCAGGGACAGATCGACCCCATTGAACTCCATTAAAAACGCTTTTCATCAATAAACAATAAATTAATTTCAGTTTAGTTTTTTAGCTTCATCTCTTTGACTTTTACATAATGAACTCGCGTCGCTGTCACGTTTGACAGATCAACAACCTCCATCTCAGCTGATCCAGAAAAACAAACTGCTGGTTGTAAAAAGCACAAACACACTCGTGTTGTGCACGGCTAAACATCTGGTTCTGTGCACGGCTAAACATCTGGTTCAAACAGCAGCTCGTTGCAGACGGACCAGACTGCAGCTCACTGGTCAACCAGTTCCATGAAACACTGTGGACAGTACCTTCAAAATAAATGAATTCCATGTCTGGCACCAGGATCACAACTAAAACACCGTCGCCTCCGGACATCTACGGGTTCTCGAGGGTCCAGTGGGCTCCATGGTCTTCCCAAAACTCCTGACTGGAAGTTTTTATAAATATCCAAAATCCTTGGAGCATCCAACGAGAGGAAATGTCTTAAAGTTGTCACAGAATAAATACAGTGAGGAAAACAAGTATTTGAACACTCTGCGACTTTGTAAGTTCTCCCACGTAGAATTCATGGAGGGTCTGAAACGTTCATCTGAGGTGCATGTCCACTGTGAGAGACATGATCTAAAGAAAATTAAAAGAATCCAGAAATCACAGTGTTGATTTCTTAATAATTTATTTGTGTGTTACTGCTGCAAATAAGTATTTGATCACCTGTGAACATCAAAGTTAATATTTGGTACAGTATCTTTGTTTGCAGTGACAGAGGTCAGATGTTTCCTGTAGTTCTTCACCAGGTTCACTGCAGCAGATTCTGGACCATTCCTCCACAGATCTTCTCTAGATCAGCAGGTTTCTGGACTCTCACTGAGAAACAGAGTTTGAGCTCCCTCCAAAGATTTTCTACAGGGTTCAGGTCTGTAGACCGAGTAGACCACTCCAGAACCTTGATATTCTTCTTACGGAGCCACTCCTTGGTTCTCCTGGCTGTGTGCTTCGGGTCATTGTCTTGTTGGAAGACCCAGCCATGACCCATCTTCAATGATCTAACTGAGGGAAGGAGGTTGTTCCCCAGAATCTCACAACACATGGCCCCGGTCATCCTCTCCTTGATACAGTGCAGTTGTCCTGAAGAAAAACACCCCCAGAGCATGATGCTTCCACCCCCATGCTTCACAGCAGGGATGGTGTTTTTGGGATGGTCCTCATCATTCTTCGTCCTCCAAACACGGTGAGTGGAATTAAGAACAGAAAGTTCTATTCTGGTCTCATGTGACCACAGAACTTTCTCCCATGACTCCTCTGGATCATCCAGATGGTCCTGGTCAAACTTCAGACGGGCCTGGACGTGTTCTGATTGAAGCAGGGGAACCTTCATGCCGTGCGTGATTTTAAACTATGACGTCTTAGTGTATTACCCACAGTAACCATGGAAACAGTGGTGCCAGCTCTCTTCAGGTCATGGACCAGCTCCTCCGTGTAGTTCTGGGCTGATTCCTCACCTTTCTTAGGATCACTGATACTCCACCAGGTGAGATCTTGCATGGAGCCCCAGTCCCAGGGAGATGGACCGTCGTGTTTAGCTTCTTCCATTTTCTAATAATTGATCCAACAGTTGATCTTTTCTCACCAAGCTGCTTGGCAGTTGTCCTGTAGATCTTTCCAGCCTTGTGGAGGTCTACAGTTTAGTCTCTGGTGTGTTTGGACAGCTCTTTGGTCTTAGCCATGTTAGTAGTTGGAGTCTCACTGACTGTGTGGGGTGGACAGGTGTCTTTATGCAGCTAACCACCTCAAACAGGTGCTTCTGATTTAGAATAAGAAGAGGAGGTGGACTAACAGGTCTCTGAGGACCAGAACTGTCGCTGATTGACAGGTGTTCAAATACTTTCTGTATTTGGTTGATAAAAAAAACAAAAACAAAAAAACTGAATTGTAAAGTTTTAGTTTTTTAACTAAAGGCCCTAAAGTAGCCACCACTTTCTTTTATTCAGCTGCTCCTTCTTCATTCACATCGAACTAACTCGCACAAAGACTTGGTGATGGTTTTTACACCAGATGTTCTTCCTGACACCACCGACCACTGAGCTACCACCTCGGCGTGGAGCAGGGAGCCGCCATGTAGGGCGCCCGGAGGAGCAGATGTTGGGGGCAAAGGGTCTTGCTCAAGGGCTCAGGGTGGGGCAAATGAGGGTGGAGGCAGGTGTGGGTGTTTCACCTTTCCCACCCACGTTTTGATGTTGTCAGTCCGGGGAGTTGAACTGGTAACCTTCTGATCACAGGCCCACCTTCTCTAACCTCTGCGCCACCACTTCTCTAGAAGCAACTACCCGTATTAAATCTTTATTTTCTTTCAGTCTGAGCGAGCTCTAAAACATGAACTAGTTTACTGAGGACTAAACTATTAATTGTATTTTTAGGCAGTTAAGGCGGTCGATTTGTCCACAGAGGAACCGTTACCGTCGTAACGTTAAAGGACCTTCTGGGGGTTTATTTAATTTATTTAAAGTCAGATTCCCTGAGATAACCTCTGTGTCGTGTTGCCTCGTTGTTCTTCAGACTGACCTCCACCTCCGACTCCTTCTTGTCCAGATGAAGGTCCTCGAGGCTCGGCTCAGACGCCTGAAGAGAAAAAACAGCCGGCGTAAAAAGAAAGTCCAGCACAAACTGCACAGGTCCGCCAGCAGGGGGCGCCAGCAGGGGGCGCCAGCAGGGGGCGCCAGAGGCTCCGGTGTTCACGAGACGAAACCAGAAGAAACCCAGATTTAAAAATGTTCTTTAAATGCGGAGCAACAAGAGTAAAATATTAAAGTATGGAGCTCAATTAGAGCCAAAATGTTTGTGTTTAATTTTTTTAAAAAGAGGCGAAAATCTAAATTAAAACTGAAAGTTCAGTTTGATTGTGACCATTAAAGATTAAAAACAAACAAAATAAAAAATCAGTAATAATAATTAAAAAAATGACAATTTGCTTTTTGTATTTTCAAATCTCACTGTTATTCACATTTTGTCAATAATTCTACTATTGTTATTTTTATCGTTTCCTTGTTTAAATGTACATTTTATCATGCAGTATTTAGTGGAACTGTTACGTGGAAAAAATAAATAAAATAAAATAAATAAAAACACAAACCAGTGACAGATTTTAGTTTTATAAATTTACACGGCATGAAAAGATACCAGTGATGTTTAATTTAAAATAAAAGTTTTTTTTCTAAAGCTTAAGATTATAACTTGACTTTCAAATTTAATTAATAATAAAAAAACAATGTGGCATTAAATTTAGCTCCACACATCGTGGTTCTGACCAATAAGTGAATAAATCTTGGATTAACGGTAATCTGGCTTTATGCTGCGATGTGCAGCTGAAAAAACTCCACCCAGCAACAAAATAAAGTTTGAGTACAAATTTATTTAATTCATTCAGAAAAGTTCTGTTTATAAATTTGGGTTTTTAAAAATGCTGACTCATCAGGTAATTGAAAACTTACTACGGTGGTCTGGTTCCGCAACCTTTCTTTGGCCTCCTCTTCCTCCTGCATCTTCTTCCTGTTCACAAACAAACAAACAAACAAACAAACAAACGATCAGACGCCAACGATGAAACCCGACGTGTCGACACGAACAGCGAAGGACGAGTCATGAGACGTTGGGTTGAGGGTTGGATTCCCACCGGTGCTCCTCGATCTGCTGCTCCCTCTCGCGGTACCTCATCTCTCGGTTCTCCTGCTCCTTCTTCTCCAGCTCCATTCGCTCCTCCTCGAACCGCTGCCGCTCCTCTGCAGCCTTCTTCTTCTCCTCCTCCTTCCTCAGCTCCTCTTCACGCTGGAGAACAGAAAATGAGCTGAATCTGCTCTGAATGACCACAAATCGTCCACCGACCAACATTTTCCGACGGCGTTCGTTACTTTATTTTACAGGTGCAATGCATTCTGGGGGATGATGCACGGAGGCTGCAGTTGAGACGAGAACAAGAAGTTGAGGCTAAAAATCTCATCAAAGTTCATGCTCATGGTAGGGCTGCCTCCGAGGAGTCGACGGGGGAGAGGGTGGGCCCCAGAAACCACCTTATCTTGGACCGCTATAAGAGTGCTGCTTGTGGGACTCGGTTTGTTGTGGCTCCTCGGGCTGAAGAAGTCCTTTGGATGAAGGACGAAACGTCTCAACAAAAAGAAACCGTCCAGAGGACCTGGCTGAACTTTGTTTGAGGATAAAAAGTTTTAAAGTTTGAAGATAAAGTTATATTTTGTGTTAGTCCTTTAAACTGGATCAACCTGCGACGTTTAGCATGTTAGCTCTGGCGCTAACGTGAAAGCTAAGATTGCATGGCGGCGTAAACAACGTCATCATGTGATAGTGATCTTTAAAAACGTGTAAAACTTAACCTGCAGTATTTTTACCGTCCGCGTTATAAGCTCTTGTTCCAACTCGTCCCTTTGAGGCGAGCTCAGATCTTCTGCTCACTCGAGTTGTTTTAAAAACAAGACGGCAACAACGTCCTGGTCTCAGCTTTAAAAACGGAGTCGCAAACGAACACGAGACGTTCGGCTGACGCTCTGTCTGCGAGGTGATCGTAACCGTAGCAACACCGCTACGCTTCCTGTTGCTTTCACTCCTTTTTATTTTCCTCCAGCACGCACCTTGGCCTGCTCCCAGAACTCCTCTCTGTTGATCTTCTTCATCTCCACCTCGGCGTTGGTCTTCTGGTACACGGTGCCCTGCAGACACACATCCAGTTTGTTCGGTGAGAAAACAAACAAACAAACAAACAAACAAACTGCAGTCACAGGCCTGAGTTATCGTCTCGTCATCACATCGAGCTCGTTCTTCGTTTTATAAAAGCCAAAATTAGAAATTAAATAAGACAACTGAACAAAAACCCTGTTGGTTTTTGTTTAAATGGAAGATTTTTTCTGATTTGGCTCATTAACGGTTTGGTTTCTTCTCGTACCACGTCTGCGTGTTCTTCTTCTCGGGTCTTCAGGCGACTCAGGACTGGGCTCGCCACCGCCGCCGTCCCGTTGGTCAGCCGCTGCCCGATGGCCAACGGGTCGATGTCATCCAGGCTGCTGGCGTTGATGATGACCTCCACGCCCTGCAGGACAGGCACGTGTTTCATGTGCCAGGAGACAAAACAAACTCAGGTTAGTTCGTTCTTGGCTCAAGTTTCACTAAATGTGACATTTTCCTTCTTTCATTTGAACATTGTTGTTCCCGCAGAATTACAAGTCTAGGAGCAGAATGTACAGAAGTACCGGTTCTTACGGGTCATCTGAAGCAGAAATCTGCACTTTGTCATTAATCAAACCTAAAGTAGCAGAAGTGATGATTCTTTAAGATTACATTTCATCCAAACTAAGTCAACGCTTTAGCATACAGCTAAGTTAGGTGCTAATAGGGCTAACTGTAGCATGCTAGCAGCCAAAGCGGATGATTCAGCAGATCGTCATGTTCAAGATGGCTCTTGTTAGCTTATACATGCTAACTGTTGGCATTTTAGCTTTTTCTAAAAACCAAACTAACCACAACAAATATATATTATAATATATAATAGATATATTTCAGCAGTTTCAATAAAAGCAACAGTCAAGTTGTTTTTGTCACGTTATTTCTCAAGTGACCCAATTCAAATGCAACAGAATTTAACTGTGACACTAAATTGATGATTTTTTTTATTTTTTTTAAATCAGTTACAATAAGAAAATACAATAAAGACAATTGAGGAACGTAGGTCATTTTGGGCCTAAGAGCCAGAGCCACACTGCTAACAGGACCACACTGCTAACTGAACCACACTGCTAACAGAACCACACTGCTAAATGAACCACACTGCTAACAGGACCACACTGCTAACTGAACCACACTGCTAACAGGACCACACTGCTAACAGGACCACACTGCTAACAGGACCACACTGCTAACAGGACCACAC